TTTAAAAATTTATAGATACAAGAAAACAGAATTCTTTTTGAATAGACATTTAAATAAAGCTAAGAAAATCAAAAGACTGGTTAAAATTTTAAAAAATTGAATTATGAATTCTAATTCGATAATTTAAAAGAAATTGCTTTATTAATCCTAAATTAAATTTTAGTATCTTGTTTTAACAGTTATTTTATTTTATTTAATATCTTATTGATTCAGTAAAATAAATTAAAATCTATTTTAAAATTAAATTTTTATTAATTCTTTAAAATTAATCAAAAAATTATTTCAAAAAATAAAAAATGATAATGATGAAAAATTCTTTATAATTCACAAATCATTTTTGTAATTTTAGTTGATAATTTTATTTTTTTAATTATAAGTACTGTATTTACGATTATATAAGGATTATAAAAAAAATATTTATTTTTTTAAAAATGTTTCTTTAGTTTTGAAAATGGTATGAATGTACTTAAAAAAAAAAAAATTGTTAATTAAATGAAGTTTACAAGATATAAAATATATAAATAAACAAATAAATATTAATTTATTACATATTTTATACATTATAACTTTTTTATATTTTAGATCATTATAAATTAAGTTGTGTCTCTATGTGATTCATATAGTATTATTCATTATAATGGCTATCAATTTGATTCTAAGAGCACATACTCTATCAGTTTGCTTCTCTAACTAAATTTTATTTATTTATTGTTTAAAAATTTTATTTTCCATTTAAATTTAATTTTCATTTTTCTTATTTGTTTAATTTTATATTTAAAAAAGAAATAAACAAAGCTAAAATATTTTTTTTAAATATTCCTTAATACTAATTAATTTTACTATATTTAGTTATTTATTTATTTGGGTTATCATAATTCAATTTTTAAATAATTAAATATATTTTTCAAAGTAAATAAATAAATAAATAAATAATCTTACTGTCTTTTATAATATCAGAATGAATGAATGAATTGACTCTATCTTTAAATATTACCAGCTGTTTTTTTATTATAGTTTGAATTGAATAGCTTTCTTAAATTTCAATAAAATTTAATTTTTTATACTCACTATTTATTTATTTTTCGAAATTTATTTATTTGCATAAATTTTTTGTGGCTCTCTTAATAAAAGTAATTTTTACAGACTAATTATTTTTTTATTTTAAAAATAAAAATTCTTATTTTAATTCAAATAAGAGTTAAATTTTTGCTTAGCTTACATGCTATTATAATAAATCATTAATATAGTATAAGAATTCATTCATCTTCCAATGTTATCAAAAATTTTACTATCTATTTAATATATTTTTTATTTGTTTGCATAAATCATCGATTAGAGTTTAATTAAATATCTTTTAAAGTTACTCGCTAATTAATTATTAAGAATATTTAACAAATTGTTTATCAAAGCTGTGAATCCTTAAAAACTCGTACCAACTTCATATTTAAATAAATAGTTTATTTGTTTTTGTATTCTTCCATATTTAATAATCAATTATTTACTTGCTATATTCAAATTTAATTTACTAAATATTTCTTAGATATATTTTTAAAAAAATTACAATCTTATTGAATATTAATTAATACATTTTTAACTTTTTTAATGTAAAGTCCTCTTAAATATTTAATAACTACCCCCTTTTTTATATTCAATTTATTTTAGTACGATCTAAAATTTTATTATTTATTTATAAGCTTTACTGTTGTTCCCTTTATGAAAATTAAATTCAGTTATATGAGCATCTTTATTAATCTTAAATCTTTTAAAATATTACATTTGACTATTTATAATAATGAAATAAACTTAATATTTTATTTTAATGTAAAATAATTAAAAGATATTACTCTAGGCTGTTTAGAATATTAAATACAGTTAGTTTGTTTTATTTAATTCTAAATCTCATAAATAAAACTCATATAAAATAATACTCCAATCTATTTTTATATCGATTTATTATCTTGTATTTAAACCCATTTAATAATATTACTCCCATCTATGTTAAATTTTAGCACTGATTAGTTTTCTTTGAATAACTCTTCAAAAATTTTACTTACTTTTTTTTTATTTAAAAGAAAATATTTTTTTTTGGAAGTGTAAAATTAAAAATCTGACTAGCTATTTATTTCGATTCAAAATTATTTTTCTGTTGAAATCTTAAATCTTCTATCAATTTTAATTTATAAATTACTCTCTATTTATGAAAATAAATAAGTTTAACTAAAATTCCTCAACTATAAGTCATTCAAAATTTTACTGTCTAGTTATATTTAGAAAATAAATTAATCAATCAATCAATCAATCAATCAAGAATCTTTGAGTATAAATTGATTCAAAAAAGATACTTTCTATTTTGTATATAAAAATAAATTAATTAATTGAATATTTGAATAGATTCTAAAAGACTACCCACTATTAGGATTATAAAGTTGTATGTATTTATAGATGTTCTTCTTTAAAAGCATTTAATTAATATTACGGCCTTTTTGAAAATTAAACATTTACGTAGCATTTTTAATAATAAATAAAATATTTACAATCTATTTATAGAATCAAATTTATATGTTAAATTCTTTTGGATATTTATTTGTAAAATCTTTATTTTACAATCTATTTTTAGAATTTAGGAAACATATTAATTATTTCTTGTCGAACCTTACAATGATATTACGAGCTATTTTCAAATTAAAAGAACTACTTAACTTCCATAAAAAATAAATAGAAATTGAATACGCTCTATTTTTTTATTTATTTTATTTTTTATAAAATTAATAAAACTATGAAGAGCTAAATAAGCATTAGCAAGCTATTTTAAAGATTACATTCTGTTTAAAATAAAAATAGATTAATTAATTAACAACCAAATTAGTAAATAAAATAAAAATATTACCCGCTATTTAATATGAAAGTTTATTCAGCATAAACATATTTGTGTTAGCAAATAATGTTTACATTCTAATTTAGAATTAAATTATTTCAATATTCTTGATCTAACTAACAAACTACTTTATTACATTTCTCTATTTCATATTTATTTATCAATCAGTTAAAGTTAATATAAATATGCCAAATTTATATTAGTTACCCACTTTTTAAAGTTTAAATTATTTTTTTAATTTAAGCATTAAGAAAAATTAAAGTTTTACTAACTATTAAAATTATTAGAGTTAATTAAACAAAAACTATTCTAGGTAATTTTAAGCTTTTACTTCCCTCTATTTTAATAAAATATAAATAAGAATACCTTCATCATAAATAATAGTTAAATAATACAGTCTGTTAAATAGATTCAACAAATTTTAAGATTTTATCATAGGAGTTAATGATAAAAAGTACTTTCTATTTAAGAAAAAATAGTAAAATAATAAATAAAAACTAAATGATGTAAAATAAATTTACGTTCTATTTTGATTTAAAGATATTTTTAACTTTGATAAGCGAAATAATTGAGAATATTAATAATACATTCTATTTTTATT